AGGGACGCGGCATTTGGCGACTATAAACAAGTGCACCCCCAGCCGCATAATCCCCCCGCATTCACCTCCCCCTTTCACGCACAAGCGCTCCCACCCCGCTCCCCTCTCATATGCGTTTTAAACTCTGCCCCTATGTGGGTGGGCGGCACGACACAGCAGCAAGCGGCTCCGCCATTTACCCGTGAGCGTCCAACGGCCCCATCGCTCCCAGGCCTGCCTGAACGCGGCTCTGCACCGTGTCACGACTGCGAGCGAGGGCGAGCGCCCGCCCGGCCCCACGCCAGCTCGCTGGAGGACGCCAGCCTGCGGGCGCTGGGTGGCTGCAAAGGGGAGACGGCCGAGGCCTGAGCCAGGAGCCTCCCCCCCAGACCAACCCCGCTCCCCCTGGCCGCCCGCTGCTCCCGAGCGAGCCTGTCCTGGGACCCCCGCCCTCCGTCTCACCTGACAGCGGACACCGCAGGCTTCCCCTCACCGCAACCGCTTAGCGACTGGGTCCGCCCCCATTCAGCCGCCGTCAGGGGAACTCCGGCCGTGTCTCAAAGGTTCCGCATGGCCCTGAGGCGCTACAAAGCCTCGATGCTCACAGTTACACCCGGCGGATTCCCGCCTTAGACTGCTGCTTGGTCCCATGCTCGTCCGTGTCCATTCAAAATACAGCTCCCTTTGCCAGGAAGCAGTATTTCCTACTGGTTGGAGCAAGTGTAGGTGTGGGCTATTGTCCTAGCCAGTGGCACTTAGAACACTTACAGAGAGAGAATGAGTTTTTGCTACAGCCTTAGCTGGGAGCCTGCTTATGCACTAAATTCTAGAGATCATAGGTTTAGTTTTGCCTGTTACAAATAGGGGCTGGTCTGGGATTTCAGTTGTGCCTCTGAAGCCCAGAATCTGCTTCCCTAGGGGAAGTATGTAACCCAGACACCTTTTGGGTGTGGTGTTCTGTCTAATAGTGGCACTAACAGGGTTGCCAGGTGGCCGGTATTGAACCAGACAACCTGGTATTTGTACCTTTTGTCCGATAACAAAACTACTGGACATCTAAAAACAGACTTTTTTCCCAGTGCTTTTTGTTGGGGGGAGGGGAGGTTGGTATTTTTTGTGAAACCAGCTAATAACCCTAGGCACTTAGGGTACCGCTACACAGTAGAGTTAAAGTCAAGTTAAGCTATGCAACTTCAGCTATGTCAATTGTGAAGCTTAAGTTGAAATAGCATTGTCTACACAGCAGGAAGTCAAAGCAAGTACACTCTTCCTTCAACTTCCCTTACTCCTCATGAAATGAGGGTTACCACGAGTCAGAGTAAGAAGTCCTCCAGCTTGACATTATATCGAAATAAAGACTTCTAGTGTAGACGCACAGTTATTTCAGAATAACATCAGTTATTCCAAAATAACACTACTGGGTACACATACTCTCTGAGCGAGAACAAATCAGTTTTCTCTACAGCCTTAGATAACAGCCAGCTAACTTTTAGTTCAAGTGGTATAGGGGATCATGCACTAAGCTCCCAAGAGCCCAGGTTCTGTTCCTCCTGTTGGCTTTACATAAGGGTTTGGGGATCAGCATTCCTGTTTTTTTGTCCCAATCAGCACCACTATCTCCAATGTGATCTTGAACAAGTCACTTGTGTACTTCAGGTTTTTCTTTCTTAAATGTTTCCTACCCCACAAAGAGCCAGGTAGTGGAGGTTAAATCTTTAATCCTTGCAAAGTGTTTTGAGATCTTCGGCTGAAATTTTTCATAAGATATGTCAGTGCATATGAGTGGTTAACACTGCCTGATACTCAGTACAGGCAAATTAACATTTCAAAGAAAGTGTCCAAAATAAAGACAGTCAGAGTTAACATTGTTTGGAGTACTATGTCTTTGGTACTTCCCAATAATTGTTGTTTGGGACTTTATAACATTACCTTACTGTTCCTGGCTTTCCAAGCTATTATTTAAATGTCAGTGAAATTTAAAGGGTTCACCTTAGGCTATATATTGATTTACAATCTTAACTATAATGATTCTTAATAACAACCATTAGTCCTTCCTTAGCTAAGCCTATATACAACTAAGAAAATGTCTTTACAACTACAGAGACAATGAGCTCCACACAAGTGGAACTTGTGTTTGTGCAGAGCCTCTTGAAGAATCAGGGGTGACCTCAGGAGCCAGTCTGGAGAGAAAAGTGAAGGTGTTCTATCCACAGATTTCTGATGAACAGTAGTGAAATAGTTTACTATGTTGTCATTTAAATTGTTGCTCTTAAATTTTAGCATCAACACCCCGTTCAGAATAATAAATAATTTTTACAGCACACTCAAAACCAAGTTTTTCTTTCCACAATCTCCACATGTAATGGACAAGTAAATAGACTTTGTTCAGAGAATATTAAGGTTTGAAAAAAAATGGTTTCTTCTCTCCCGGCCTGGCAACTTGCCACAAAAATGTCCTCAAATCATTGCAGGTAAACAATGGAACACAATTAAATTGTTAAATTATATTAGTGACTATTTTAAATCTCTATTTGCAGCCTTAGAAATGTCAAATTAGTCCTTCAGATAATCGGGTTTGCCAATTACACTAATTACAACAGGGCACAGTAATGCATGATTGGTTGGTACTGCTGTATATCTGCTCTCTAAAGATGTCAGAAACATGATGTGCATTTATCTGTACTTTTCTAACTCTAGTGTCAAGGAGTCTGAAGAAATATGTAAATCCTAAAGCTGCTGACACTTAGGTGAGAGTCTATTTTAGATCAAGTGAAGGTGACCTCTGCTTTTAGAACAGAAGGGTATAGTCTATTGTCCAGGGGCAAATCTTGAATTCTGTCTTATTTCTGATATGGTACCCATTATCATAGTATGATAGCTGAGCACCTCACTCAGTCAAAACTCTCTGAAGCCCATGGGAAATTCGCCTAGCTATAATCTCAGTGAGGACTTCAAGTTGTAGCCCCATATGTATGGCTATCTTGTTGTTTTGATCTGTGTATGTTCACGGTTAGCTGCAGCATATTAAAATGTGATTTTACTAAGTGTGCTGCAAACCCGCTTTTATGACTGAACTCATCCAAAGGGAGTCAGTTATAATTTAAAAACAACAATATACATGTTGCCCTCATTTCGGGACTGCTCACTCCTGCACTAATCATGCCAATGGGAGACAGATCGCTGAATTCCATATTTCAGCGGAAACAAATTCCAGCCCCTGAGCCCTAATCCCGAAATAGGCTCTGTCACATAATTCTTGCATCCCTCAGGAGGTCAATGGGGCTTTATACCCTAGGTGTCAGTGCTTACTATGCTATCTAGTCAATTTCAAACCTCGGTTCAAAGTAATTTCGAGTATTATATATACATACACCTTTGTCGTTTGCCCCACCTCCTCCCCCCGCACGCGCTTTCGCGACGTCACGATCACATTTTCCTGTGGTTTTAACGTTTCCTCTCCCCGGTTGCTGTATGAAAGCTCTACCCAGACACCGGGCCCCTCAGTGGGGTAGGGAAGGGCAGTGAACGTGTCTGCGCTCAGAGCGCTGCCCTGAGACACCAGCTCGCCCTTCCTGCAGAAGGAAGGAGAATGTATTTCTCCGCAATCCCTGTCGGCCGCAGTTACCCCGGGGGACCCGAGGCAGACGGCTCGGCCCCTACGATCCCACGGCGC